TATGTCTATAACTGCTCGACGTCGGTACTATGTACAGATGGATGTCTCACCGCTATTATTGGAATGGTCGACCCGTCAAGTATCGATAGTACAAAGTATTCACAAAGCAACCAAGGAAAGCGTTCTATGCATTTATGCGCAAACAGCCACACGCACTTTTCTTTGTTACACCGAAGAAGCCGCATAGGCAGAACCCTAATACCAGGGCACCGCGGCTACTATGTGGAGCTTAAACAAACTTTCTTAATCCAATACTCTAGCTGCCTAATGTTAGTATAACTGGGAAGATTCTCCGTATGTAGATTGTTCCACAATCTGGTTACCGTAGAGATAAAGAAGCGGTTGTATCTTCCACTCTGGATGTGCAAAGTTCGGCACGGTCAGGTGGGGTTAATGGGAGAGTGTGGCAGGCAGGAGCCTCAGCAGCACGAGCTGCTGCATCGGTCTTGTTTGAGCCCAACCAGAGCTCACTATGTGCATTGAAAACACCGGGGAGGGCTACTTCTGAAGCACAGTAATTGACGTTCAAGAAGTCGATCTTAAAGGCAAGGTATTCAATCAGGCCTTTCCAGTTATGGTTCGAGGGATCGCGATAGAGGCAACAAATACAAAATATATTTGGAAGACGGCCTGAAGTTGAGGCGAAGCAACAGGATGTTCTTTTAGTCTGACTCCAAAGAAACGACTCTGGAGTAGCAAAGACTGCTGCGGACAAAATCCAAAATTTAGATTGGAGTGCCCCTTGCAATTTGAAAAATTAAGATGGTTAGATCGGTATCTGCCAAGAAAAACATGGTGGAACGATTAGACTGCAGACAGAGGTGAACTGCATTAATGTTGCTGTCATTACCGCAAAGTTAGTGAAGAAGATTTTATCATCGATCTTGTTCCTCCAAGCCCGTCTCCCACCCGGACATTCCGAGAGTGAGTGCGGTTACGTTCGGACAAGGCTGGACTGAATATGTTTGCTTTCCGTCACTGTAACCACGACCAGCTGCAGACAACTCTGTTTCGTGCTCTTTAACATTCATCATAGGTCTAAGTCTCAAAGACAGACAAACGGAAAACAAAACGGTGGTTATGAACTTCTTAAGAACACAAAATGTTCCGCACAACTAGGTGAGAAGTGAGAAATTTGTCGATAGCAAACTACATATGGTACCACATAAGATGCGCCCAAAACTTGTTTCCGCATCCTATTTTTCTGATTTGTTTTTTTTTTGTGAAATTTTGTATTGCAACCTGCTGCAATCCCAAGCTGTTAAATATTGACATTTTCAGTGAGACATTGTACATTTCGAGACATAAACACATAGTTTCCTTTTGACATTTAGATTGCAAAAATGCAAAAGAGCATAAAAACCCAAGTTACTGGTTCATAAATTAAGGCGCAACTTGCACCATTTCACGTAAACATTGTGTTTGATGAATAAATTATCCTGCTTGTAATAATAACAAATAACACAACTATTAATAACTACGCGCAGTAATTAGTGTAAATAAATATTCCCAGAGGTGAAGTAAAGTGGAAATACACCACGCTACAATAGTGGTATCAAATCTAGAATAGAGAGATTTTAAAGGGAATTAAATATACGAGTATACTCAGAATCTATGAGAACCTATAAAGAATATGTGTCGATCAAATTAGGCAATGCCAGATCTTATTTTGCGAAGATCTAACATAAAAAAGGTCAACCTGTGCATTCATTTTAGAATAGGGAAAGCTAATTTATTGCTTAAGCCAAAGTACTACATCTGTTAAAGGGCCTCATACGTTATTAGAATCCTTCACTCAGATTCTTTTAGATCCCTTTAGAGATTCTTCCATCTCCTTGGAAGTCTTTCGCTCTCCGTAGATTTTTTCGGTTCACTCTACCTTCTTAGATTGCCTCGTATCTCCTCATACTGTGATAGGAAATCTCCTCCGCCTCTACTACAAATATTCAAACCCTTACTGATAGTTCTTTTTATAACTCTTGAGCAGGAATGTATGGATTTAGCAAGTAATGCGTTTACTAAATACATAAAATTTATATGCAAGTATAGAGTAATCCAAGATATGCTTGGTGTGGCTCATTCAAAGACTGAGTTCTTTCATGTATCTCATAGAAAACTCAATGAAGCAATAATCTTTGTTATTTCATTCTTTCACATAGTTGCACATTTTATTCCAAGTTTACAAACATGGTTTGAAAAATAATGGGGTAATAAAAGGTGTCCCATTGAGGGACTTTGGAGTTTTCTTTTAACAGAGAGTCAATAAACACATCATGCTTGCTTATTGTATCAATATGTATGAATAATATTATCCAAGTGCTCCCCCCTCAGCTGCTTCTACAGACGATGATTCTTCAACTAAGACTTTCGGCACTCTTTGGCACAACCAGTGCTGGATTAAGCCAGCGCGGCGCCTGTAACAAATAAATTATATCAGTGGGACCAGGGGCAGAGCCAGACCTACAAGGAAAACGAAATGCTTGGCGATGTAAAATGGAATGGAAAGAGCGAGTTAGGGGCGGCTGCTATATAAATACCTATAAAAGTTGTGGATGTTCGAGATTGAAAATTGAAGAGCGGGGGTGGCGTCGGCGGACTTGCTACTCTTTTTACTCCACCACTGCGGTTGAGTTTCATTAATTACTTCAGATGTTTTGCTTCAGGTTATTATCCGTATGCATATTATTTGAAAAGACATTATCTAAGAGGATCCTATGAAAAAATGTCAAGCGAAGTTGAGGATGGTGGTAATAGATACATTTCTTCGCGTCAAAAAGTTAAAGATATTAAAGATATTAAGATTGTTTTCAAAATTGTCTGCTCATTAGTCGAAACCTTTCGCGCTCTGAATAAGTCATCTAGTGTATGTAGTTACTAATACTATGCAATTCCAACACAACAAGAAGTAATAAATAGTCTGAATGGCATCATTGGCTCTCCTGCCCATGCATTTACATTATGTACGATGCCAGAACTGTGTAATTTTAGTGCTTATAAACTGTGTAGTCTAATGTGATGGTCAGATGCCGAATGGGACACCCAGTGTGTCATATTTATGCCCATGTCATTTTAGTCGAAATCTTACCAACTCTGTAATAAGTCATCTACAGTACCTATATTGTCACTAATACTATGCAATTCCAATACCACGAGAAGTGCAAATGGCAACACTGGCTCATTGCTGCCCGTGCAGCGACAAGTTCATGTGCTAGATGTAGGCAATTCTCCCATTTACATTATGTATGATGCTAGTGATGTGTAATTTTAGTGCCTATAAACTGTGTAGTCTAATGTGTTGGTCAGATACAGACTGAGACACCTAGTGGGATATATTTATGTCTATTTTTAAGTCATGAGTATAGTATCATTTCAATCCTCCAAAATTTCAAAAACGTTTGTATTTACCACAAAATCAATAACAGGTCTATTCATGTAATAGATCTACACTAGAGATATCATAAATAGTGGTTTTCCGAACACTGAATACCTGCGCCGAATATTTGGAGACGGTTACGACCTGCCTCATTGCAGTGCGTGGCAAAACAGATAATTCTTTTAGAAGCTTTAGAGTTCTAATGAGTCCTGTAATTTCGATGTCGAGCTTTCTCCGCCGCAGAAGGAAAGAAATGTGAACGAAATTGACTTCTTTTTAAGGAGTAGCTTCAGGAAATATGAGCAAGATACGGATGTTGAAAAGAAAATATTGCTAGGACATGTATCAAAAGCCGCCCCCCTAGATCAGGCAGCGGATCTTTTCAAGTGATTGTTAGCAAACGCACGGCAATAACTAAAGTTTTCAGTATTTGTAAAAAATAATTTAACATCGTTCAGCTTATACAGTGAGGGATATGATTCCGCACAGAGCGGGTATCTGCAATTTTGGGATATATTTGATTTTGCATCCTAGCCAATCAGTGGAATTTGCGATACCCAATGGTGAAAAGTCTTTGAGCCAAGACAAAGGTATTATAAAAGTATATGAGTTCCACGCGGCAATCCTGCTGAAGTACGACTGTTTCGCCTAGCATCCTGTACAAACAACTCTTACACCTCAGGAATGTATCGGTTGCCACTTTCTTGCTTTAGAGCAGAGTTCCCCAAACTTTTTTGTGTCGTAGACCCCTTGCCATGTTTTTCCGTGTTGGGTAGACCCCCTACTTACCTGATATTGACTTCCTGTAAATTTCTAACTGTAGTGAAGTTTAGTGTTAAAAACTTAAAGTAAAAACACATGTTAATTTATAAATTTATTAATTGAATTTAAATTAAAACTACTCAAAATAAAATTTGGTATCTGTTATGTAAAATATACGTAACATTAAATAAACAGGTGTCTGACCAATAAGTGCCCGCATTGGGAATAAGTGCCCGCATTGAAAAAAAAGTGAAAAAAAATAAAAAAAAAGTTTTTTACTTAAAATAGTACAATAAGCGCGTTCGTTTATTAATTATAACATAAACGTATGTTCTACAATAATTTCACTGTTAGTTTGATTAAATTCTGCTTCTTATACGTTTAAGTTATCTAAAAATAGGCAAAAAATTAACGAATTTTAGTGTGTACCTCCTTGAATTTTCAGAATAATTTAAAAAAAATATTTTCTATAAAGGGGGTTCTATAAAAAAATCAATGCGGGCACTTATTCCCAATGCGGGCATTTATTGGTCAGACACCAATAAACATAAAATAAACTATAAATAAAATAACATAAGCAATAAGTCAATATTTTTAGTAAGAAGGATGAACCTGATGCTTTAATAATAAATTATCAACATTTGGCATCAATTTTGTAAGGGTTAATCTTAAATCTCCTCGGCTAATGATCCAGTCTGTTTCTTTTTTTCGTTAGGAGATTGGTAACAGCGCTGAACCCCTTTTCCACCTGGTATGACGATGGAAAGGAAATTAAAAATTTCCTCGCTATATTCCATGATACGGGATAAGTAACGGGTATGTTGTTTTGCAGCCAGAGTTGCTGATATCCGTTTTTAAACTGAACCTTAAGTTCTTCGTTTGTACTTAGTTCAGTCAGTTCCTCTTGTATTATGACATTCGTTTCTTCTACGTCACCATATGGATTAATTATCCACGGTGGTATTACCATAGTCAAAATATCCTCAAACCTAGATTCAAAATCTGAATAGAGGGCATTTAAATGTTGCACGTAAGTTGAAACGTCGTCTTCCTGGCCGCTTGTCTGTGACAAATTGGGGAACTGAGAAAATTCGCCCAGTCCAACATTTTGCTTAATTAGTTTAACTCTGCCAAGAAACGCTGATAGGATGGACTTTGTTTTAATCAAATTTAAACTGTCGCCTTGTAATTGCAAATTAACAATATTAAATTTTGTAAACAAATCTGTTAAATAGGCATGTCTGTTTTCCTCTTCATTAAATATTCTTTTAAAGTTTTATCTTTAGTATCCAGAAATTCTAAAATAGTCTCAAAAAGTGCAAAAAATCTTGTCAAACATAAGCCTTTCGACAGCCAGCGTACTTCAGTGTGAAGGAGTAATTGATGAAAGTGTTCGTCATTTTCTTCACACAACTGCGCAAATAACCGCGTATTCAACGCGTTGCTTCGGATTCGGTTTACTGCATCAATGACTAAATGAAGTGATTCATGCAATCTAACACTCAAATTTTTAGCAACTAAATGTTGTCGATGGATGGCGCAATGTATTGCTAACACCCCTGACACATGTTGTTTTAAATAACTTATAAATCCACGATAACGTCCAACCATGGCAGGTGCTCCATCTGTAGCTACTGATATTATATTTGATAAAGGAATTGCTTTTTCAATGAAGTAATCCTTCAAAACATGAAATATTGATTCACCTTTAGTATCGGTTATCAAAGTTCTTGCGAAGAGCAGTTCTTCGTAGATTTCTTGATTCACAATAAAACGAACATATGCCAATAATAATGCTGCATTATCAGGTAAAGTTGACTCGTCCAGTTGTATAGAGAAATGGGTCGTTTGCAAATAATTACATAAGAAGCTTTCAATATCAGAACTCATTTCATCAATACGTCTTTCAACGATATTGTTGCTTAAGGGAATTCTTTTAATGATATCAGATGCAGGTTTGTGTAAAACAGTTTTTAAAACCTCTTCAACGGCTGGCAAAATTAACTTCTCTCCGATAGCATGCGGTTTTCCGGATTTTGCTATAAGTAACGAGATATTGTAAGACGCCCGCAAACCATCATCATTTCTTTGTGACGTCGAAGCGAACATTCTGTCCAGTGTAGGTCTCTTCTGAAATTTATCTTTGAGTGTTTGAAAGTATTTCAAATCTTTCTCTGTTTTATAAGGGTGGCATCTTCTCAGATGATCTTGCAGTTTAGATGGTTTCATAGCGTCATTGCCCAAAACAGTGATGGAATGAAGCCAAATTTCAAATAATCAACACTGTACTGTCTACATTTCTTTTTAGATTCGGACATGGCATCAGTCATCTGTGGGCAAAATTAAATTATTTAAATAAGACAGAAAATCCAGCAGCTGTATATGAAATATTTTTTGATTTTTCCGAAAACATTCCATAATTCGAACATCTTCTTGCAACAATTAGCTCGAATTACGGAGATTGCACTGTAATTATATTACCGATTGCTAAAACTTTCAAAAAGAAATTATTGAGGAGTATTCGTGTAATTTTGCATTATTGAATATTTAACTACTAATAACTAAAGTCATGATTGGCGTAATTTATCTATCTTTGCTAACTACGAGTACAAAACTAAAATTTAATAAAAAATAATGTACTTACTTTTCTCCAGCACTCTCAAACAAAATAACACTGACTCACTATAATTTGTGTGATATACTGGCTGTTTATATTTTTTAAAATATTTTCTTAGCACTTTCCTTTTCAAGATTCAGGAAACGAATAAACGTATTTGTCCCACATTCGTATTTATAGAGTGACGAATTGAACAAGTCAGTGCAAGGTAGCGAAGCTCTGAGACTGCGACTCTCAGATCAAAATCTATTGCGACCACAAAGCGAATACCAACATCGTACAACTTACACAATTTTATAAACATGTATAATTAATTTTTTACTTCATAGGTACTTTTATAAATAATGTATATGTTTTGATATTATAAGATAGTATGATGTAAGTAAATAGGCACTATCAGTGTATGTGTTGAGATCCACTATCGTGGACCCCCATATTCATTTCATGGACCCCCAAAATTTTTTTCGCTGACGTAGACCCCTTGCAGGTTGTCATAGACCACTAGTGGTCGATATAGACCACTTTGGGAATCAATGCTTTAGAGTAACAATGAGTAGCTACTGTAGATATGACTGTGTTGCCTGGTAACGTGTACATACTAGATTTAAGCGTTTAGTCATATTATAGCAGCTGCCACTTTTTTGCTGAAGTATGTTGGCTAGTCATATCTAATCTCTAAAGTAAGTTAGGCGTAAGTGTTGCAAATACGACTCAATTGGTTTATTTTGTTCTAAGTATCATATATAGGGTGCTTCAAATTAGACCGTCACCATTGGGATCTCGAAAACTGATGTCGCTTAAATGGGGGCAAAGATGCACATTTAGGTAATGCCACAATCCAAAGTACTTCCGGAGAGAGACGAAAAAACAGAATTTTCCCAAAATCGGTTAAATTTTTTTCTGACTTTATTTGTAGTGGGATTCCAAAATAAATTGCACAATAACATTGCCACTTTTTCCCCTACCTGATCGCATGATTAGAAGTTCAGTACGACGTTTCGTCTCTTGCCCTCCCGCATCAACCTTATGTTTTCTTATGGACTAGTTCTTAATTCTGAGTCCAAAAATACGTCATACATACGAGATTTATGCCAAAACCACTCTTATTGTTGTCATTGTTACTTATTCACCTCTACAAGATGGCGTAGCCAAATTTTCAATTGGACATTTCTTCTTTCGACTTCCATCACAAACTTTGTTTTTTAATATGAACGTTATATTGGACTTTTGTACATTTAGATGGACTTTTTGGAACACCTTGTATATACATTTATTTTGATTATTATTTTAGCGTCAGGTATTGTTTTCAATTTGCCGTACTTACTTAATTAAGCCGATGCAATGATATACCAAGTGGTATAGAAAAAATAACACCCAGCGGTTTTTTATCGGTCATGGAATCAGAGAGGTCATACCCGAAGAGTTAGAGGTACAGGGCGTGCCAGAAGAGCGGTTGCACATTGTTGCTTTTGGCTTCTCGTCCACAAGGCCATTTGCGGACCAATGCAATGGTTTAGAGGGTATCTAGAGCCTAAAATGCGAATTGATAATTGCTGGACTTATTTTATACCGTCCTCAGTTTGTTCTACTTCCTCACCCCTAGGTTCCGAAGTGATGGATTGGGTGCAGAGAACAACTGAAGTCTGACCTCGAATGCAATGCCATTGTCCTCAGTGATGAATCAGTATTCTTTTTGGGGATGCATGATGGTCGTGCAAGACTGAGAATGTTACGAGGTGGAAGACGAGATTCTCAGTTGAAGAGAAAATTTAATTTCATTCATCACAACTTGCCTTTATTGGTAAATGAATTTTATCCATGATCAGGTACTCAGTATTCGACTGAATACTTCGCAATATTCGGCTGAGTAACCAGTTGTAAAAAATTGAGCAAATACAGCATAGTATCCGAATGTTCGTGTCATCTCTCGTGGATGTTATACTACGAATATGCCGTGCTGGTTACATTTCAATGCAAATTGTACAAGTAACATCGCACCAGCAAGAATCGCGTGTCGGTAGTACCGGTACCATGGCTGGTAATAATGCTTTCAGTATAAGTTGCGATAGCACCGAGGAGGCATCAGACATGGGTTATGGTTCCATTTCAGGGCTGGGTGTACCTTCCTATGCGTCTGGTACACCACGGAATCCAAGCGGTATGTCGGGAAGACGCTTATAGCAGTGTAACTCACGGTAAATGTCCTACAGCTTCATTACAGGCGATGGAAGCATCGGCAAATCTTGTCATTCGTTAGGTCGGTGAAAGTAGACTCTATGATTGATTATTTCCAATGGTCTGGCCTATAAATGGATCCACATATCGTTTCAAGGATGTAGCGTTAATTTTGCCGACCACGCTATGTGCATGAGGAGCGTCGGTCGCACAACTGAGTACAAATACAGGGTCCGGTAAAATGATCCTCCATACGTATTTTGCACCGCCACTGTTCTCGGATCACTGAAGAGAGGATGATCATTTCGCGCTTGGTAGACATGCTCCAGTTCCAGATCATAAAACAATACTGTTGTGGGTTTCAAATTTCAGAGCTACAGGTTCAACCTTAAAAAGAAAATACACTGGTAGGCCCAGAAGTGTTGCAGCTGTAAGAGAAGCAGCTAAACGATCGCCTAGCCATTTAGCAGTTAAACGTGCCTCTGTTTACCGTTCGACAGGTCGTTCTGTGAGAAGAATTTTACACGCTGATCTGAAGTTCCACACAAATGATGATCATGCAAGAACTTTGTAAACGGGACTGGGAAAATCGCAGAGCATGTTGCAACGGTATTCTTCAAAACATCTCACAAAATGCGCTTCTAATAACTAGTGACGGAGTGTGAACAAGCAGATTTGTTGCTACTGGCCGCTAGAAAATCCGCAGTAGCTCCATGAAAGGTCACTTCACAGGGTGTCCCCATTTTTTTAAGAGGGGCGCGTGACAGTCACCGTACTTGAGGATCTATATATCGACATGCTACGCAACTTTTTGGGACCAAGTCTTAGAGAAAATTCATACTGCAAGAAAGGTAATGCACGTTTTAAGGAAAATGCTTCCAGGACGCGTAATCTCATGGAGACTTTGGGTGGCCTGCGCGTTCACCCGATCTTGCCCCATGCGGCTTCTGCTTTTGGGGCTACCTGAAACCTGAACCATTGACTAAATTAAAGCAGCAATATGATAAAGAATTACAGGAATATCGCGTCAAATTACTGCTCGAGTGATGGACACTTTCAGAAATCAGCTTCGAATGTGTATCGAAAACAATGGTCGCCACTTGGACTCTGTAATTTTCAAAACCTAAAAAACCTAAAATGTGGGAGATTGTTTTTCCGGATCCTCTACATTTGGAGTAGAGATGGCTGATGTTACTTTTGAATATCTGTAATACCTGATAATGTCGCTTTTTCTTATCAGAGGTTCAAAAGTGTAACGTGATCAGGACTTTCGAATAACCATGTGTGAGTTCACACTGGTCACACAAAGCAGATCTGTCCTCGGAGACAGACCAACATCGTCCGATATTCATAAAAAGTCTTCCGTGTCATATCAATATCGTATCGTTTTTAATGTCGTACAGGAATAAATAGAAACTTGAATACGATTTATAATTGATCTTACATGTACTTATTGAGCGTGATTAGTAATTATTGCATGGGGATCTCAACACCTGTGGGAGGTACAACTTAGTAGATTAAATTGGGAGAAAGCTGCGTTCTTTGGGGCATATTTACATGCCGTTGAGAAACTTCTAAAAATGTCATCCCTTTCTGCGATGTTTGGGAAAAGCTAAAATTTGACAAATCATTTCTATTTTTTCCTGACGTTATTTTAAGAGATATCAAAAAGCTAATGAAACTTTATCATTGACATTTTTAGGCACTACAGGATGATGTTTTTAAATTTTGTACCCGACATTTTCTTTTTGATAAACCATCATCAGCTTTATTTTTTTATACGGTCCGAAAAAAGGTACGCCCTGTATCTCATAGCATCTTTTTCTACCAATTCAACTATGTATCACATGTTACATTTTCTCTTAGATATATTTTATTTTCAAACAAATGCTTGATGTAAGATTATGTGATTGCCGAAAGATGCATATTACATTATTCCTGATGATGTGATGGGGTAAAGTTTTATAAAATGACGCCGAATCTAGTGATATTCAGAATAACGATACATTTTGAACATTATTATTATTTTCTTTTTTAGCTTGCTAACTTGATCCATTCACAAGGTAAGGGAGGTTGTAGGAACCTTTGAAAACCACTGAATAGTGACAGTACACTGTAGGGACTTTTATCTATTGATGTCACTCACGAAGTGCTGCACAAGCACATTTGTTATTCTAAAAACAGACACCGCCTCTCTCGAAGCATTCCTTCTTAAGGGTGGGCCATCAGTTGGTCACAAAGTGACCATCCGCTTCGATATCGTTTCTCTGTGTGGGATATAAACCAACTGGAAACGGACGTCAATTTTGGTTGCAATGAATCCAAAAAGAGTAACTGT